AAAGCTTATCCGCGCTCACTCCACGGTGCGTGACGGGTCACGCTGATCGATATCGGCATCGGTGGGAGGGCTGGTACATGATAAACGGCCCCGAAAGGTAACCGCTGCATCACTGGTGGTCCAGGCACTGCTGACAAAACAAATTCCTTCAATTAGACCGACATTTGTGCAAAATCGCATTTCACAAAGCCGAAATATAAGCATCCACAAGTCACGAATTCCATCCAAGGCCGCTGAAGGCACGACATGCAAATTTTATCCAATTTTTTTAAAAAAAACACTTGCTGGACCTCGTCTAATAAATAAGTTGAGTGAATCCATTCGAATTATGGATACAAGCCGGAATCGCTAGTCCCATCTGACGCCGACTCACTGGGGTGGACCAATGAAAAGGGGCTATGCATTCCACCAATTAGATTTCCTCCTGGCACGACCCCCCCTTAAGAGGGCATTCTGAAGGAAACAGCTTTGACCATTTTCCGCGATGCTTCAACACACATAAACGCCTTTTTCTTCTCGTTTCACTCGTTGTTCCGTCGGTTTGAAACAAGTAATTAGCAACAGTGACCTTACGCTGAAATTGATTGATTTTGTTATACTCAATTCGACTAGTTTTTAGTGTGAGCTACCTCAATATCGACCTGAGAGAGGTTGGTGTTGGGATTGGTCGCAAATCATCATTGGTCAAAATTGCATTTCAGCTTGCGTGTGGTCTCAAGTTTTATTGTAATACACAAAAATTACCGAAACCGGTAGAAACTAGAAACAATTGTGTCGGTAGGCTTGAAAGCGTATTGGTATACAGTGTTGGAATTGGCTAAACCTAGGTCAGACCAATCAGCGAGGCGATCGAGAAACTGTTCCTTGTGTGACCTTCTCGCTGATTGGTTGCCTGGGCCTGTGGAGTCGTCGTGGGCGGTGGGGGTTGAGGATGCGACTGTGCTGGCAACGGGGGTGGCATCTGGGACATCGGGGTAGATTGAGGAGGGGAGGTCGCTTGAAACCCAAGCGGAGGAATGGGAATCGATATGGGGATGAACACGGGGTAGGGAGTAGGCGTTGTTTGATGAGCCAACGCCTGGTCTGCCAGTGGAAGTACCAACTGATGCGTCGGCGGTGGCTGTGGCAGTTGACTTCGTTTCTTCGCGTCCTGCTGCTCTTGGGTCGTCTTCACCGTGACTCTGGATCTTCGCTTTCGACGACGGTAGTTACCGTGCTCAAACATGTCGTCAGCGCCCGTGGTTACGGTCCAGTAGTTACCCTTTCCCGGGTGTGACTTGTCTCTTCCCAACTTCACGAAGCAGTCATTCAGGCTCAGATTGTGCCGAATGGAGTTCTGCCAGCCCTGACGATGGTACCGGTAGTAAGGGAAGTTCTCCATTATGAAGTTATAAATTCCTGGAAATGCACGGAAACACTGTTACCCCGACTACGGACGCACCACACACAAAGACCCAATCAACTAGAAGGCAATTAGAGAAGCAGTCGACACATTCGCATGCCCCCGTGCATCAAAGAGCGCGCCACACGAAGCCGGGATGTGTAACCTAGCTGGCTGCACCTCCACCCCAAATTTTAACAGCTGGCGGGCAAGGAAGATTTATCGTTTTGTAAACAGACGCTTCCCGCCCCCGCCCACCAAGCCAACACGCCTCGGTGACTCACGCAGGCTGTGAAACTGGGGGAACAAGGGTTACCGGACGGAGAGCCTAGCCTCTCGCTCACGCCGTTGTGTAAACAAACCATCATGAAGGCGCGTTTGTGCGTGAGTTTGTGTATTTATATTTTCACAAATCTGACAGGCTTCAAACACCCGGGTAACGCACGTGCTAGCAAATAAAATGCCAGTCACCGAACTCCCTGAGAGGTAAAGTAAACATAGATACACACACGCACACGCACACCCCATCGTTCCCCGCTCAAGTTAAACAAACACTTGGCTAGCGGGCTCATGTGAGCTACGCACGACGTCCAATGACCTGCTGAAACGCATATTCCAACCCTGGATGTCCCGTCTGGTGGCTTAGCGAGACCTGTTGACGTCCCGTTTGGTGACTGATTGAAGCGGGAGGCAAGCTGATGATTAGCGTCGATTTGGAAAAACAAGCCCACAAGCACACACGCGCACGCATTGACCACAGATGACAAGCACTTGAAGAAAACAGCGGAGTGGTACTTTGAAGGATTTTAAAGAGGCGTCGCGTCAAATAAGGAGGCTGCGAAAACACACGGGAGCACGTGCTATGGAAATTTCTAATCCAGTAAATGATTGTCAGAAACGAAGATCGTAAATCCAAATCCACGGAACGCGCAAAATCACAGGGAAACCAGTCTCAGAATTGGAGCAAATAGACACACACACAAGCAAACAAATTAGGCGTGTTTGTCAAAAGTTAGGTGGCGATCTGCAGCCGCTCCGGTTAACTCCTGAAACGCTTCAACCATTCTCCAACAC